ATTGTTCATGTTGAAGATAGAGAGCAATGCTGATGCAGCAGTTGGCGATCCATCTTTGAAAGGGCCGGTAATGGCAACAGGGCATGTTCCCTTATGGAATGGTTTACAACATTCTTGCTTACTTCCCAGTGAGGTGAGTTTCATTGATGTGATTTTATTGTAAATCTTAGACTAATTTCCAAGTTCGATCAATTTTTGACAATCCAAACATTCAGATTATTTGACTATATCACATATCAGAGCAAAGAGTAGCTGAATTACATGGTTTTATTGAAATTTGAAGAGTGATTATCTAAACTTTGCTTACAGGAACGCGTGACAGACAAGAGACATGCATTAGGTTCATCCCAAGGAGTCGTCCCCAACTGGGCATGGCAAATTCATAACCAGGTTAATGCCACCCAACTCCCATTGTTCTCTGCTGCAGCATCATCAGGATTCTCATTTTCAGCTATCCCGGCTGCCATCCTTCCACCGCGCCAACCGGGCTCGACCGCCCATAACCTCCATTTCACTTCGGCCAAAGCTTCCCTCAACTCCCCTCAGTTGAACCCACAACAGCCACCACCATAAATCCTTATTCTTCTACATTACAGAGTGAGTGACCAAAAGTAAAATAATATCTTCTTTTTCATTTGTATGCCTTTTTTAAGTAATGATTGGCTTGATTTCTGACACTAAATAGCTGATTACAAACTGCTATGCTGCTTCATGTTTCTGTACCTGAAAACAAAAACATGATGCTAATATATCATATACGTACGCTTGCATTCATTGCTTCATGTCTCAGATTCTGTTTTTATGGTTAGTAGCCAATTCTTGCTTTTATGAACATATTTGCATAGTGAAATAGCTTTTATAAAGTCATGGTGAAAGTCTCACATCCGCTAATTTAGAGCATGGTCATGGATATATAATAAAAAAATACTATCTCTATTGGTATTGAGACATTTTAGGAAGTTCAAAACAAATCTATGAGAACTTATGTTCAAAGTGTACCATATCATACCATTGTGTAGAGTCTGTTCGTCTAACCGAACAAAAATTCTTGTCCATATACCATACCCAATAGCCATAGGAGAGGAGTAGGAGCCCACCAACCCTTCCTTTTTCCTTTTGCCTTTTTCCCTTTGTTTGGTTACCTTTTTACCTCTTTTTCCCTTTTCTAATGAACTTCTCTTGGGTAGCTGTCAGCGGAACTAGGACTGTGATTTTCATGGTTCCTTGTTACACCTGCAGTTTCATTTATATGCTTTTGTGTCTGACTGCTTGCCTGCCTGCCCGCCTGCCCGCCTGCCCGCCTGCCCGCCTGCCCGCCTGCCCGCCTGTGTATGGGAACAGTGAAATGTGGCCGAAAATGAGGAAACGTGGTGCTCTCATATTCTCCCTTTTCTATTACTAAATTTTTATGAATACAGGTGGAGCAGAGAATTTCAGAACAAACCAATAATTTAAGTTTTTCTGGATTCAATTGATAAGGACTGAATTTATGTATATATGATTTGGAATTTTGGTTTTAGAAATTGTAATTATTTCTTTCATGGTATTATAATTGTAAAATTTTAAAAATCCTAAATTTATAAAAAGTACTTCGCTTTAAAAATCTTATGCTCGTATATCTGGACGAAAATTATTTAATATTTTATTTAAAAAATATTCTTGAACTTTTAACAACTGGATTAATAAAAACTATTTTTTATTATAAAATCTACTTTTGATGGAAGGTATAAATACTAAAATTTTAAAATTAAAAAAATACAAAAAGTAAAAGTAAATAAATAAATAGAGAAATTAGAGACGAAAAGGGGTAATTAAATTTGTAGATTTTGGAAATGAAAGGGAGAAAGTGGAGCCACGTAAGCAAGGGGAGTGACAGCTAAAAGGCAAAATAAATGATATTATTAATATTAATTTAAATGAAAAATATTGGAATTTTCAAACATAATAAATAAAAAATGCTTTTATGTCTGTTTCCCCTTTTTCTTAATCTCATTGTACTGTCAAATCAGTCATTTCTATGTCTCTTCTCTTCCTTCCATTTTTTCTTCTATTTACAATTCCACCTCTTTTCTTTTCTAATTTATCAAAAACATCCCCATCCTTTTATCTTCTCTTTCAAAACTACCCTCCAACTTTCAAAATTTTCAATTATGACCCTTATATTTTCTTAACAAAACATAAATCATTTAAAATTTCGAACACAAATTAAGACCTCCAATAATATTACAACTTTTAAGGGTGTTTTTTTTAAAATAAAATAAAAAACAAAAAATCAGTGTTATATAAGATTTTCAATGTCGTTGATTTTTGACTCGTTAAACGACCAATCCTAGCAGAGTTAAACTCTGAATATAGTACTAATCACAATTTTAAATATCAATAGTTTGATTTCCCGTTTCACAATTGTTGAATTTGGAAAAAAAAATGAGAGTTGAACTCAACTTTTCTTGATAATTAGTCTACGTGTTGAGCAGTTTCATTCGTTTGATTATAGACCGACGCTTAATTGGTTGCTCAATAATATTGCGTGTAAATTAAGGTTGTCCTAATTTACTTTGCTCACCAATATAGCATCATCATTGTTTAACCAAATGTTATTATCAATGTTGGTTTAACTTCATATTATAAATATATTATTTATGCCATCTTTTTTTTTCTAAGTATAACTAGAATTTGAGCTTGGTTTAAAAAAAAAAAAAAAAGAGTAAATCTCAAAAAATCACTTAGTTTTGTTCATTTTGACTATCGTTGTGTGAGATCCTATATTGGTTGAAAAGAAGACAAGCATTTCTTATAAGGATGTGGAAACTTTTTGTTAGTAGCCGCATTTTAAAATCATGAGGTTGACGACAATATATAATGGGTCAAAGCGGACAATATTTACTAATAGTGAGCTTAGGCTATTACAAATGGTACCAGAGTCAAACATCAGACGATGTGCTAACGAGACACTAGGCTCTCAAGGGAGTCGATTGTAAGATTCCACATTGATGTGTCAATGAGGATGAGCAAAGATATTCCCACATTGGTTGGAGAGGACGCTGAGCCCCCAAGGAGATAGATTGTGAGATCTTACATTGATTGGAGAGGACGGTGGCCCCCAAGGAGATGAATTGTGAAATTTCACATTGGTTGGAGAGGAGAACTAAACATTCCTTACGAGGGTTTACAAGGGTGTGGAAATCTGTCCTAATAGACTTTTAAAGTTGGAAGCTAATAACAATACGTAACGGATCGAAGCGGACAATATCTACTAGTAGTAGGCTTAGGCTATTACATGTTGTCACTTTTAAATCTCTAATCTAACATTTAATTTATATCATTCACTTGTTGATGTCAAAGATCAAAAATATAAATGATTTTTTTATTTTTTTTTTATTTTAAGTTTTGATCCTCAATTAATGGACAGATTTAACTTTAGAGAAAGTTAATAAAAAAATTTATTTTTTCCTACTTTGGCACCGGTTTTGTAAGAAATATAATTTAATTTTTTTATCGAGATAGTATCAAACAAACGAAGTTGACTCAGATACAAAATAAACAAATGAATTAAAGTCACCCTATAAAATTCTATACTTAAAGTTAAATATTATATAATTCAATTGAGGCTTCGTAAAATAGGCGAAACTTCTCTAACGATAAAATTTTAATTTTATAAAAGAGGTAGGAAAAGAATAATAATTTCTACCATGAGAGGCAAGAGAATTCCAATCATTCACCTAATGTTAGTTGAATAAAATCAAGAATTTGGATAGCCTAAAAAGGAAATTATACAAAATTGGGAGGTGGTATTGCAAATAAAAAGAATTGGGAGGACGAATTGAAAAAAAATAAAAAAATCAGAAAAATGTGGGGTCCACAGAAAAATAATTTAGTATAAGTTTGCTTTAATTTAATTACTCATTTTCCGCGTAAATTTAATTCAAATTGAGAAAATAAAAGACGCACCCATCATTTAAATGATATCTTTCCTCTACCATTAAGGTTTCAGGGCTTTTTATTTTATTTTATTTTATTTTATTCTTCTTCCTTTTTTTTAATCCCTTTATCTGTCTCACGTTATGATTTTGACGGCCATGATTAAAACGAACACAGCAGCTATACCACTATAGATTCTCTAAGAGGACCTTTGGAGCACATGGTGGGCCCAAGCCCATTTGGATTTTGGCCTTTTTGTCCCTTTTAGGCCCATCAGGGGGCCCACTAGAACTTGGTTTGTTAGGTTTTTAGAACTTAGTGGGGTCTCCAATAGAATTATTTATATATTTTTTTCTTTAAAAAAAATTGTTTTGAAGTTTCTTCCAATATTAAATATATATAATTTGTGGAGAAGAGGAAGACAACCCTAATCGTCAGGAGAAGGTTGTAAGAAATCTATGTGGGCCTTTTTTGTAATAAATGAAGATAAGAGGGTGAAAGTTGCAATTAAAAAAAAAGGTTAAATTTTATAATATTGAAGAACAGAGGGGCCACATTGCTATTGCTATTGGTTGGCCACAGATATTCAAATCCAACCCCTCCTGATTGGGTATGTCTTTGTTGGATTTGTGAATGGGGAATGGCAACGGTGGGCCAAGTTAATGATTGTCCTGTCGATCGAGTAGAGTCTACGATGAGCCTAATCTATATGTCGTTTAAAAGCTTCAAAGATCCAACGAATAGTTAAGATTTGTTGACGTTTCAAATTTAAAGGCGGGATTTTGTTAGTGATTCTATCGTGACAATATTATGGGCTTGCTATTGTCACCATCCGTTCATAAAACCCTTTTGTTTTTTCTTACTATTTTTTTAATCTTATTTTCAAAATAAATAAATGAATAAAAGTACACAAATTCTGGATTTTATTTTTCTTCACATTTGGGTTTCTTCTAAAATTTTCCCAAATTTTTTTTAAAAAATATATAAATGACACATGAGGGAAATTATTTACATTGAAATCTCAGAAAGGCTTTGCACGAACTAATTCCAAAATGGTAAAAATAAACCAAATAACGTAGAAATTTTAAAAAAATTAATGATAAAATTTGTTAATCTCTGTTGTCTTAAAAAGACAAGCCGTGGTTGGTTCCTATCGATTACATTTCAACGTTCAATTTGAGGCCTAATCCACCAATCTTATTCAAATCCACTATGGATCAAAAGAACACTTCTTCCAACAGACACGAAAAGGCCCCAATCTTCATTTGATCAAATGAACTAAAATCTAAGCTCCCTCCGAATCAAAATTGTTCAGTTTCTCCCAGAAAGAAAGAAAGAACCTATGACAATACAAATTCATTAGTATAGCCTGGCATACTGCGAAACCAGTAAATTCACTCGAGATCCCGCTTTCGTTAAACTGTACTGGCAATTCTGATGCTTCTGAGTGCTCTAGTTACTTATGGGCAACTCTTAAAAGAGGCAAGAATTGATATGTGCTTTCTCAGTGAAGTCACCATGAAGCTTAAGCTACGTCATGACGTGTCAAGAATTACTTAACCCTGATGAACCAAATCTCGACCTTGAATTTGTAATAGTAATAACCCGAAGGAAGGAAGAATATGATTATCACCTCGTGACAGGAACTCCATCAATCTATCTCAAAAGGCAGGAAACTCCCCATCTTTGAACTATCTATAATCTAAGTAACTAAGTAAAACACTTGTAAAAAACAAAAGAATCAAAGTACATTCAAATGGATTTCGCATATAACCTTGTGAAGTCAGGAACTCCCAATCTCAACTTTAAGGTCTTGAGAGCCAAAAAAGTAGAATCTTTTACTCTTCGCTGTTGGCAAGGAACAAAATAATCGACAGCTGGAGGGACGGGTCGCCCTACCAGAGATTGACAGACATTTTACAACTTCCTGTCAAATAATCGCTGCCAATATTCAACTTGCCGCGATACAATCACGTGAGCTTACATCACACCTACACAGACACAAATGGGGCAAGTAGAACATGTCAGCAGGCAGGTAATCAAAAAACAGGTCTTCAACCCTCGTATCGGTTTCTCTCTCTCGCTCTCTGCTTTTTATTTCAGGAGGGATTATTCAAACAGGGCAGAAGTTGATGAAAGACAAACTTATTAGATACAAATATTCATTGTACAATTATTAAAAAAAAAAAAAAAAAAAAATGTTAAAGAAGGGGACAACAATCAAATGAAAAAATATACCGACAATATTCTTACCTTGTGGTAACATAATCCGATACCATCAGGGCACAAATCTTCCGCACCATCAAGGCCAGATTATGAATCTCTCAAGACATCATGGCTACACGTCCACAGACCTCACAAGGCAAATCCTAGTCCTTTGCTCAAACGCTGCCGCAAATCTAGGCACTCACATCATTTCATTCACCAAAAGTCACATCCCAAAGGTTCTGTTATATAGATCGCTTGAGCTGGGCATGCGGAATTTCGAGTCTTCATAACCAGCATAATATTTGTTGTATCCAAGCCTATCATTTCTCAATATATCTGCCACACCAATATTGGTTCCACCTTGAGCCTCATTCCAACCGTCCCAGTGGCCATGCGACATAAGCCTATTTCTAGAATGTTGGAGAGATAGCTGCCCAAAATTAGAGAGATTGTTAACCTGTGATTGGTCCACAAGCCTTGAAGAAATGCCATATGAATCCCCGAGATGAGAGAAACCATCTCCAACATCAGAGTATCTCTGCTGCTGGGGGTTCAGAGATCTTTGCATCAGTAACTGAAGACTTGCTTCATTATCAAAGGTACCTAATGAAGGAGAAAATGGTGTCCTAGCGTCTAGACCAGTATTGTTAAGACCTATCTGACGTCTGCCTTTACCAACTGCCAAAATAGCAGGATCCATAAATTCAATATCGCCCGTGCTAATATTACTTCCAGTTTGATTAGCTTGATATGTATTTCTCAACAAAGAAGAAGAATCTAGCAGACGGTTTCCTGAATCAAAAGGTGAAAATTTAATGCAGAGAAGGTACAAAATTTATTTACATAACTTTACTAAGCAGAGGAAAACACTAACCAGAGAGGGAGTCAGAAACTTGATCTACTCTGTCATGAGAAGAGAAACCAGGTGGTGGCACCCGGCTTGGAACAGAGAAGCCAGGCGGAGCTGAGATTTGAGCTCTCGTAACTGCTGAATAAGAGAGTCTGTGAGGAGGTTTCTAAGCAAAACAAGTAAAACAGCTGATTCCAAAAAAGAACATCAAATTACACTTCCAACCCCCACGGATAAATGAATGAATCAAAAGAAAGCAAGATAAGACTTCATTTCACTGTAGAAGCATCGGTTCGAAGGAAAAATTCAAAACAAGAGAAATTGGGATCTGGTGTTCTGAATCCCAAGAAGGAGCACCAAGAGGATATTTCCATACCAACACTACCCACAACATGCAACAATACACGAAGTAAAAGAAAAACAAAGCTGATTGGAAATTAAACCACCACTAAATATGATAGATATCTCAAACACAGATCAAGAATATTTAAAAAAATTATCATAAATATGAGCACTCACCTGAGAGCTTATTTGAGGAATTAAGGGAGTGATTGCTTGAATGATTTACTGATCCATCATAATTGTTAGAATAGAAGCCACCACTACTATGAAACTTGTCTGAATGCACATTATCATTTTTAAAGAATTCATGCCCGAACGAATGATTTCTCTGTATTTGTTCAATCATATCAAGAGAAGGTTGTATCCTAAAATCTTGTCCTTTAGAATCTTCCTGCCTTGCAAAAGAGAATCTGGACTGATTATTGCTTTGCACCTTCCTGGAACTTGGAGATTGTTTATCACTTTCACCCAAAAGCTTGGCCAAATTCTGGGACGTTAATGTGTTATCCCACATGTTGAAGTCCATTGACAATATATTTGAGATTATGCTGTTTTCACCATTATCTACAAAACCACTGCCATTGGCATTCAGCATGTCACCAGACAACCTGCCCACATGCCTTCCTCTTCCTTCGTTGTGAAGTAAAAATGAATTTCCATGGGGCATATCGGTAGCAGCAGAAGAGCTGATCCCATTCTCCACGTTGCCATTGATAGCAGTTGATATGTTAGATGCACGGAAATGTGAATTATCATTGAATTGTTTATCAACAAAAAGTGAATCTGCATTTAAATTAGCAGGATCATTGGCCGCTATATGTCTTAAAGTATGCAATGTCTGCCCAGAAGTATTGACTCCATTCGCAAGCTGACTGCTAAACACAGGCGGGATGCTAGATGAGCTTAGAGATGAAATATCATTGAATGGCTTATCAAATGACAAATCAGTAGCTAGACTGGTTGCTGCCCCATTGACAGCATCCGGCCACAATGGATAAGAGGTAGAGCCATTCAGGGCATGAAATGTAGATGCCCAGCCAGGCAACCGAGTTGAAGGGCTCAAAATCTCTGGATCCTTGAGCCTCTGACTATTAAAAGATATCACATCCTCTTCCAACTCACTTGCATTAACAACCTCTCTCTGTAAGTTCGATCTCCAATCACGTTCTTCTCTTGAAAAAGACATGCAACTAACCACATCATCGCCTTTCCAAGCATCTGTCGAATCTAAAGGTGCCACTCTAGACTGCTCTTGTAAGCTATGGTGATCCCCGGAAGCTTTAATCAAATCATGATCAGAGACTATAGTATTTGGTCTTAGACCAGATTGTTCATCTATATCATCTCTATCAATGCTAACTGTTGATATATCAGCGCTCAGATTTTGTATTAGGCCATCAGAAGAAGTAGTTCCTACTTCAGGACAACTGCTAGAATCCTCAATATGGAGATTAGGAGTAGAAATGCTCGGTGCCATAGCCATTGTTTTCTGACTGTCCTTTGTGGCTGGAACCCCAGCCACTGAACAACTCAAAGATACAAAAGTAGGCATCTCCTCGGGTGAATCATGTCTGTCTGTCGACAAAGATTGATAATCCGTGCTAACAGGATGTTTCAAAGATTTTAAGGATTCTTGATGAATTTTGGCATTATTAGAAGTGTGACTCTCATTAAATGCAGGTCTCTTTCCTGCTTCACTATGTACTATAGAAGCCGAAGAAATGCTTGCATCTGCAGGGGGAAGTGATAATATGCTATTAGTAGCATCGGACTTTTTTGGAGGCCCATTTGTACTTGGTAAACTTGATACTGGCACTTGAAAATTTGAGCCTCGGGTTCCCCTGGCATAAACAAACGTGTTTTATGACCTCTTAAACAAAGTTAAGAACTTTAAAATGGGTGCAAACATAAATATCCATGTACCATGAGGCAGCTGCAGGGAGAGCAATTGACTTATCTGAGCTTCCATTTGGAGGAGAACCTCTAATGATGCTAACAGTATTCTGGGTAACAAAATTAGTCAAGCATATCAGCATAAAAAGCTTCAGCTCTTATGGATAGGATATAAAATTTCCCCACTTTTGATTAATAAAAAGAGAAATGTACGAATAGAAACATAAGCGGCATCACAAAATTTTCTAAAATATTTCCTCTGAAGAACAATCAATAGAGTAGGATGTTCCCAGTCACAATAATATGCCATAGATTGCCACCCCAAGAGTGTTCCTTAGATTGAAAAGTTTTAACAAGTTAAACTACTAGCCTTCAATGAAATTTAGAGGTGTTAATGTAATGATAGTTAGCACAAAACATAAATATTTAAACAAGTATTTTTAAGGTTCAACATAAATTAATATCTAACTGACAAAAAAAGTGTTTCTGCATATTATATATGAAAGAAACATCAACTATTTCTTTAGCTATTGGAGTTTAGGATGTCTTACACTTGAAGGGTTCTTAACAATGGGTTTCCCATTTGAAGAATTGTTATTGCAGTAATCATCCATTGGTGGTGGTAACACACTCCCTGAACGCCGATGCGTATTGTTTGAGGCACCAGTAATTTGTTGCACTCTACTCCTTTAATACAACTATGTAAGTTAATTAATCATCCAACCAAAAACACAGAGTCTCCAAGCAAGCAAATAGCAAGAAAGTCATCCAAACATATCAAAGCGGTGATGGCAGTACAAACAAAAACAATCTTGGTAATAGTATTACTTGTCTAATCGATGATTTTTATCCCATTTTTAAGTATGGTTTATTACAATCAAGTGTTATTTAGATTTTGGATTTGAGAAGGTTGAACACTTGTCCAATCAAGCATTGGCGGCTTCAGTATTAAGCATCTCCCCTTAGTGTGTCCATAGGCTGACACTGAAGTGTATCATCCCTTCTTCCCTTTGTTCACAACTCAAATGAAGCTGTGGGTTAAATTGCATTTAGGGTTTAATATTTGTTAAACTTCTCTTCCTTATACTAGACAGGAACAATATAACCCAAAACCAACTGTAGAAAAATACACGACCACATAAGAGTAAAGGGAATCAGTTTTGGCACAAGAATCAAAACTTCATGAACCAAAATAATCCAATTTTATCCACAACTAGAATACGTATTCTTACAATACTATATATCCAAGAAATATGTTCAGTTTGTCTGAAATATGGTTTCACTCGAAACTTCAAAGCTTACGACTAGTAGAGTTCATCATTGTAACTTGGGATTGCAACATGATCTTACTGACCAATGGATACTATTTTTCCAACAAGAAATACTCTTTGTAGTAGCCGACTAAATCTATTAAAACCATATAACTAGAATTAGTATTACAATTACTAAAAATTGAAATTGTAAATTTAAGTACGGGCATGTAGAATAACGAAAATAGAGGATATAAGTTCACACTAACCAACCTCATTCTAGGACAGTAGATAATCTGGGCACCTATTCAAGTCTGTTATGCATAATGAGACAATCATGGGAAATAATTATAGGCAGATATAAGAATATCTATTGCATCGTAGTAAAAAAAAAGCTGTCGTAGATATAGGGATATGTATTGCATCCATAGCCTATTTCATTAGGCTTGACTAAAAGCTTCATTCGTTTCCAAAAACCAAAGTAGAGCTTTTATAATCTACAATGGAATTATGGTCAACTACACGTAGAAAATTGTTAGAGCAAACTGATGTTATGTCATTCCACACTACATTGTACTCAAACATCATTTCTCTTTCCACAAGCCTCAAGGATATCTCATAGGGTCAAACATCATTAGCAATTATTTTAAAATATAAAAGATAAATAAATAATTATGCAATGAATCTCAATCTAAAAAACCCTTTGAGAAATCAAGCAACAAAGGCACAACAGCAGTTTTAAATACAAAATGATTATCACACCTTGTGTATGCTGAAATGATTTCATCTTTAGTGAAACTATCTTCTTGAGAACCAACCTCGTGTAAATACAAGCAATCAGGGTTGGTGCAAGGCTGAAACGTTAGTTATAACATTATGATCCAAATCAAATTTAAGTTGTAAAATTTTTAATTGGTAAAACTATAAATACAAGAGAAGCAAATTATAAAATTCATACCACACTCCTCAACCAAGCATGACAATATTTTGTCGTTCCAAAGCATGCCCTAAAATAGAGGCACCCAGAGAAAGTAAATTACAAATTTGACCAGGAATATTCAAAATGTACTCTAGAACTTACTACTCAAATATACACTAACCTTAAAGGCTTGCCCTCCAAGACAAACTGATGTACATTTTGGATACATCGAACAGCTTCCTCCTCTTTTGAGAATGTAATATATCTAACCCAAAAAATACAAGAAAATAAATATTTTTTTATTTGAACAAAAATATAGAACATAAATAAATATTTCTGGATACATACGTGATACTCGTATCTAAGTAAAGCACGGAATAAGAGTTATGTCGGTGCCCCAATTCAAACTAAACTAATCAGCCTTCGTGTAGAAACCATATGCACAGAAACAAAATGTTCCAAAAAGGTAATGTACCATGCAATGAAATATATGAACGTTAAATAACCTATGTAAATAAATAAAACAGTTTGTTTTAAGAAAGGAGGCAAAAGTCATTGCAACAAGAACATTTGAACTTACACACTACAGGTACTATTAGTAAATTGTTGAATGACTCCAGTTGTTGTACGGGACATAGACACTTTTAGAACTTTCCCATACTGACCAAAGTATTCTCTCCGCTGAAGAAGCTGCACAAAGGATGATAAGAGGACATCCATTACTCCCATCAGAACCAAAAGTATGCAGATCTATTTAAGAACCAATAGTTTTGGGGAACAGAGAAGCAGAATATACATCTTCATCTGCCAGATTAAGAGGCAGCCCAACAATATATACTAGATTCCTTTGAATCACGCGTACACTGCTAAGCTGCTTTCGTCCTTCAGATGATTTGGCTTTTGCTTTTTGTGACTTAACCTTTTTTTCCACACTTACTTCAGCAACCAATCTGAAAGGAATAATTTTGTATTTTTAGATAAGAAACAGTATAGAATAATAATTATCAGGACAACTCTATCTAAATATTGCAAATGGAAGAATTATGACTAAGTTGGCAATGACGAAGTAATGAAGGATCTTTGTGTTTGGTCTAACACGTATTAGACAACCACATCACTTATTGATGGGACTTAACATTCTGACACTTGTCTTCAAAAGAAACAAGAAAAGCTCCAAAGAAATACCAGATATTAAGTAAAACATAAAACTACGCCCAGAAAAACTTATACCAGTTACAGGAAAAAGAAAAATATATCCAATTTGTGCAAGTAACAAGCGAACAATTACAAAACTCTCTATCAGACACTTGCCAAACACTTCTGAGATACCTAATCTGCAGTGCTGATTTATTACTTTTTTCTGATAGGAAACGGAAAAGTTCATCCATAATCAGGGACAATAAAGAAGAGGGAAAAAAATAGGTAAGGAATCTCCCAAAGCAGAGGGATTCGTAAGAAGCCCCAAGTTAATAAAAGCAGCTAGAAAAACAAACTCAAGGAAAATTGACCTTTCACAGCTTGATGCCATGCCTACAATTTTTTCCTTATCGTACACAGCACGACATGCAGGACATCGACCCTCGGTGTCATCCTTCTCAGCCATGTCCATAATATGATGCCAGCACCAAACACAAATCTGCCAGTGGGGTAACCATTAATTTAAGATTCAATTCTACTTTTACATTGAAAGGATCAAGATATATCCATAATCAACTCCTGAAATCTCCAGTAACATAAGCAAAACTAGAGGAAAATTGAAGTATAATATCAGAGTTTCCTAATTCTCAAGAAATGAAAGATCCATCTCAACATCTCAAGTAGGAAACATAAGACTTCCATGAAAGGGATTCAGAAAAGATGCACACACTTCCCCTAAAGGTTGGTTTGCTGATAGCAGTTTTAAAACATAAAGAAACACTGTTAAAAGTCAGATTAAAACTAAAATGTGAAACCCATAAAAACCCGGTTGCTTATATGCATTTGCTGATCTGTAATTATGGTATGTTTCAAACCTCATATCCGCATTTGCATGGCTTCAATTGCTGATCAGTTGGATCCATCTCTTCCGCACAGAGTGGGCAAGTTTTTTCTCCTCCGTCACTCATGGTTATCTAAGAACAAAAACAAAGCAAATATAATTATAAAAGGCAAAAGCAAATAGGCTGCCAGCTAATGGAACAAAAGCCTTTTCAGTGCATATACAAAGTGGGGGGGGGGGGAAACAGCTTTCTAACTAATTCTAATATCTAATTGTGCAAAGTACACAACTTACGATTATTTTCCCAGGAAACTAAAGAATGCAATCAATCTTCGCCGAATCTAAGAAAAGGTACTCTTAATTCCTCATTTTGTTATTAGTAAGAGTACGTTCAGTTTACAATAATTACCAAGTGAAGAAAATCACAACACAGACATCCAACTCCCCCTTCCCTTTGTACATCATCTTCTCCTAAACCATTAGAACAAGTCACCAATCGCTAATTCATTTAATTATACATGCAATTATGCTTCTGCACAATACTCGTGACCACACCTCACGTCTAATGCCAATATTTTCATCACTAGACCTGAAGAACATTTTTATACACATAGAATAATCCCCCAAACCCATCCATAGGCTGAAATGAGCACAATATATGGATGAAACTCGACGATGCTAATCAACTGTGCTGGAGCTAAAAAGAAAAAACCATTTCCAACGAAGAGTACATAGAAACTACAAATACCAGAATTCTAGATCGACATATTTCGAAACTATAAACATAACCGGAAATTATCCAGGACTGACCAAGTAATCGCGAAGAAAACAAAAACAGATGAATCGAAGACCTAATTAAATTCACAAACATGCAACAAATCGAAAATTGAAGCGCATATGCATATTGAAGAGAATCAAAGAACACGAGTCGCCGTAACTTATATGAAAACCAAAAAATAGCTGCAGCAAATTCAGAATGAAACGACGAATAAAATTAGGGATCTTGAAGATTGAAACACAAAAATAAAGATTGCACAATAGATAAAGATCGGATTGCAGAAAAATGGCTTGAGATTAGAGCTGGCGGTCATTACAGTTGAGAGATCGACAACACGCAGGTAATGAATCTGTGAGGTTGAGATTGTCCGAGAAGCGCACGATAACGAAGACGCGAACAGACAGAGGAGAACAATAGGAGGACCCTTTAAGGAGAGAGAAGCTCTTGGCTTTGGATGGCTTTTTGGCCGCTGTCTTCACTCTGCGTCGCTGTCAAATTAATATTATCAATTTTCGAACAATACCCTTCAATGTTGCCCTAATTACAAAATTGGTCCGCTCCACCCTTCCTCCACCGGCATCGGCCCTATGGTTTACTTTTTCCTGTAATGAATAAATTGTTTCTTCAATTATTTTTATTATATTAAATATTATTATTATTAATATCAAGATAAACATACTTCAACAATATTTAATTTTATTAAAAAAATTCATAATAAATATAGTATTTAAATTTTTAAAGGGAATTGTGCTGGTGAATGTATGTTATTTATTAATTTTATTGCATAAAATTATAAATATTTAATTTTCTTATCTCTTTTTAAAATGGGTTTAAAAAATTTATTTAAATCACCCTTCATTATAAATTAATTTATTTAATTAGTCCTTTGAAGACTTTAAATTCGGTACTTCAAATTAATACTATTAATTATTTAAATCTGTTGATTTTATTCCTTTTATTGTTTATGTAGACGGAAAATAGGAAACGATGATAATAAAAGACAGAGTAATTACTATATACAAAAATTATAGCAAATTATCTACCATTTTCATCATTAAAAGTCAATTAAGGATGAAATTTTCGGTGGAATTCTAATTATTTCAACTTTTTTTTATATATTTTTTAAAACAAAAGTCAACCCACAAAATTGATTTTATTTATATTTTAAGATAATACTTGAATTTTTAATTATATTTCATAAATAAAAAGTTAACTAATGGTGTATCCATGTTTATATCAATCATCCTCCTAAAACAACAATTCGAAAAAATATATAAAAAATAATAATAAATAAATAAATATGTGTGTGGAAATTCAAATGACTTACTTTTTTGATAACGAGATTTATCTCGACCAATCACACTATGTTTTATTCGAGGTTCAATTTTATATTATTAACAAAAGTTATTGGAAAGTCATTCACCGACAAGAATTTTAATACGTGTATATACATATAACCTATATATACACCAATTACATGGAAGAAAAACATTTTTGTTAGTGATCTTTTTTTTATATATATATTATTAAATATAAATACTACCAATATACTTTTCGGTTAGGTAAAACAAAATTACCATAAGAAGATAAAAGAAAATTACCAATATACTTTTGACGCTTTGTCTCCAATATCTATAATATTTTATAATTTTAAATTTATTTATTTATCAATAGTTCTAATATTTTTTTCTTTCTATTTAATATAGGAAATTCAATTTCTCATAGGATAAGACTAGCGAAAATTAAGAAGGAATGCAAGATAAAGAAAAAAAAAATTGAGGAAAAAAAGAAAAATATAGACTATAGACCACAACAAGGGAATGAGAACTTTTTTTATTGTTTGTTTTATTTTTATTTGTTTTAATTCAACAGCATGGATGGAGAGATTCAAATGACTGACTTATTAGTATAAACAGTTAAGCTACATTTGTGTGGGTGGTTCGAGAAGTGTAAGATCCCACATTAGTTTGAGAGGAGAACAAAACATTTGTTATACAGGTGCAAAAACATCTCCTTAGCGAACATATTTTAAACCCTTGAGGGGAAGCCTTAAAGAAAAGTTGACAGATGACGATATCTGCTAATGGTGGGTTTGAACTATTACAAATGGTTTAGAGTCAAACACTGGGCGATGTGTCAATGAAAATACTAAGCACTAGCCCCAAGAGGGATGGATTGTGAAATCCCACATCGTAAATGCTAGGCGTTGAGCCTCTAAAGGGGATGAATTGTGAGATCCCATGTCGATTGGAGAGAAGGCAGACACTGAGTCTTCAAAGGGGATGGATTGTGAGAACCCACGTTGAGTGGAGATGATTATCCCGGCTAACCGTAGCTACAATAGGACTCTGCTTGATATAGCCAACCACGTGTGAATTATAAAGGAAATGTTAGGCGTGTGGGCTTTTATTTTGACTATTATTATCTTATTTTTTAATCATTAAATTAGAATATAAAATTATAAACACAAATAGAATCTTTTGTTAGATGAATGGTCGCTGTATAGACAATAAATGAACAAAATATGAACGTAGTACAATTATAGAAGTTGACGAGGCAAGAAAAAATGAATAAGCGCTAAAAGAAATGCCGATTTAATAATTAATTTATATTATATCCATACATTTTAGTATCCATTACGGTAGTTGACGAGGCAATTCTTGCTTTTAAGTGAGGCTAATTACGTAAAAGAGCTATCCTGAGAAGGGTAGTTACGTAAAAGACACAAATATATGGGCCCGAGAATGAGCCCAAATAAAAAATTGGACCAAGCTGTATTGGTTGTTTTATTAAGCCCACCGGACCCAGAGAGGTACGCACCGTTCAGAGCGCGGCAAAGGTCGGCTCGACGCCTATCTCCGTCGCTTTTGATTTGAAACGGCTTTCCGCGGACTAAAAAAATGAATATTAAAAATTCAATAATTAAATGCTTTAGTTCCGAGACATAAGCTAAAACTCAGCTTTTAATAATTTATTCCCATTTAGTCCCTACATTTTACTGGATTTTAAAATTTAGTTATTTTTATTTAGTATAATTGATATATGTTTGAAGAAAAAAAAAACGGTCATAAAGAAATTAAACTTTTTATTATGATAAATTAAGAGATTTTTTACTTACTAATTAAAAAAAATATTGTAAATAATACTATCTCTATTGTTACTGACTTTTTTTGAAAAATCAGAAGTAAAGTCATAAGAGTTTAGGCTTAAAGTAGACAATATTATATTATTGTGAAAAGTCGTTGGGCATGTCAAGTGAAAAGGGACTTAGTATCGAACAAATTGTGTATTTTGTTTGAGAACTTCAGAGAAAGAGTCGAGCCTTGATTAAGGAGAGGTAGTTCGAGGGCTCCATAGGACTTAGTGAAGGCTCTATAGTGTACTTTGTTTGAGTTGAGGATTGTTAGGAGGAGAAAAAGTCAAGCATCGATTATGGGGAACTCGTTCGAGGGCTCCATAGTGCTCAGGGATGCTCTATGGTGTACTTTGTTCAAGTTGAGCATTGTTGAGAGGAGAAAAAGTTGAGCAACCATTATGGGGAGTGCGGTCGTTCGAGGGGAGGATTGTTGGGTTGTTTGAGGGCACCATAGGTCTCAGGAGAGGCTCTATGGTATACTTTGTTCGAGTTGAGGTCGTTCGAGGGCTCTATAGTTCTCAAGGATACTCTATAGTGTAATTTGTTCGATGAGAGGATTGTTGGGCTGTTCGAGGACTCCATAGATTTCAAGAGAGATTTTATAGTATATTTTGTTCGAGTTGAGTATTGTTGGGAGGAAAAGGAGTTGAACCTCAAAATTATTACACCAAATTTAAATTTTATAAGAATTTTAGACTAAATAAATAGAAATTAGAAAGTAAATACCTCACAACCACTTCCATGCATAAATTTATTTCATAATTTGTTTGCATTTACGCAAAGCTCCATTATAAGCCGAAAATCTTTGACACGACGCGCATTAAATACAAACTCGCGAGAGAGCTACAGAAACGGACGCGTTCTATATTTGAAGGCAATCATAGCGTGCAGGGTGGCCGCATCACCTGCGTGTCATTATTAGCGTACGGATATATTTTTCCTTGCAACTTCCCATGAAACTTGGCAGAATTTGATTGGCTGTCACCTCATTCATAAGTTCCAATCAAGTTAGATCGGTGATATTATCATTTCATTATCGAATCTTCCATAACAAATACATTCACACGCAAAAGCTACACAATAATTTATAAATGCCAAATGACTTAACTGACCTTAAGTCGTGTTTCAAAATGCATGCTAAAAGCCATACAAAATATTAAAAAAAATAAAAGGGAGAGAGTCAAAATAATACGTGTTAGTTAATGTGAAAAGCACCTCCTATTTTATTTTACACATTTTTTTATTTTATTTTAAATTACAATTTAGGAAAATTCAAGTGATAATTACGTTGATTTAAATTAGTAATTTAATTATTTCATGCTTGCACAATTGTGTGGAAGTTGGAAAATAAGTTATTTATATATTTATTATTTTTTAAGTCGTAGAGGTAAGAAATTGAATCTCTAACGAAAAGGCTCAAGTTGGCTCGTTAATGTTATATTATTTATAAATACAATATTTTTTTTTAAGAAAATCAAAACTAACTAATTTCTTGCCGTTTTTAGAGTGTTATATAAAGAAGAGCAATCACTGTCCTTAATGCGCGAGTTACGTAGGTTAATTACTGCGGTATACACGAGGAAACCAGATACTTCCCCTCCTAACTCGCAATAGTAAGGGTAATTTAGTCATTTCACATCTACTTTCTTAATTTTCGGTTTTTATTCTTTTTATCTCTACACATTCCATGACCGTACAGGCGACAGTAAAATTCAATCACAGCCCTTCAATTCTAAAAGGTGAACATGTGCCGTAGGATAGAAAAAGAAATCGAACGGCCTAAATTAAGCTACTAGAAGCTTCTAATTCTTCGAGTGTTGCTCTTAAGTAACAGCTCCCTCCTTCAGCCTCTTAATTTTGTGACTGTTTCGTGCCATTTTTTTTTGTAAAAGAGTACTCTCTCCGTTCCATTTCGCGCTTTCAAGGTTTCCATTGACGTCGATTTGGATTTTCTTTCTTTAGATCTGTTTTTGTTCATTTCATCGATTCTATTCACTTCTGGCGCGAGTTGATTTTTTAGTTTGTAGGATCTCAGCTATGGCGAAGAACTATCCACCTATCACCCAGCAATACGAGGCGGCTGTCCTGAAGGCTAGGAGGAAGATTAGAGCTCTTGTTGCTGAAAAACATTGCTCTCCACTAATGCTTCGTCTCGCGTTGGTTTCTTTGTCCGCCATAATGATTGATTATGAATCTTTGATCATTAATGGCCATGATTTACTGTGACTTTGTGATTGCAGATGGCACTCCGCTGGAACGTTTGACGTTAAGACTAAGACGGGAGGTCCCTTCGGCACGATGAAGCTCGCAGCGGAACTCGCTCATGGCGCTAACAAGGGCCTTGACATCGCT